TAATTACTCTTTTAACTCTCATTATTTCTCTCTATTTGATTATAAATTTTCATATTATCTTCATGGTACACTTCTATAATAATCTCTCTATTAATCCATCAATTCTTCCTCTCTATTCATGTATAATTTTGTGGTACACCTCTATGATAATCACTCTATTAATCTCTCAATTCTTTCTCTCTGTTCATGTATAATTTTGTGGTACGCCTCTATGATAATCTCTCAATTTTTCTTCTCTATTCAGTTTTGTGGATGCGATTTGCATTTTTGTTTATTCGAGGTGTCATTCAATAAGACAAATCATGGTATGAATTTTTGCTTATGTAAGTATAATATTTCTTTTTTTAGTCGGAGACATTCACATTATAATTGGAATTATGTAGGCATATGAATTTTTTGTGTGTGGATAAATTGATATATGAATCATTGAAGAAACAGTTTAACATTGTTTAGGCATAATATCTCTCTTAATCTCTCAATTCTTCCTCTCTATTCAGTTTTTTTGGAGGTGATTTGCATTTTTGTTTATTTGAGGCGTCATTCAAGAAGAGAACATATGATATGGGTTTTTGTTAATGTAAGTATGTTATTTTCGTCTTTTAATTGGAGACATTCAGACTGAAATTGGAATTATGCAAGCATATGAATCTCTCAATTCTTCCTCACTATTCAGTTATAATTTTATGGAGGCGATTTTCATTTTTGTTGATTTGAGGCGTCATTCAATAAGACAAATCATGGTATGAGTTTTTGCTTATGTAAATATAGTATTTCGTCTTTTAGTTAGAGAATTAACACTAAAGTTTGAATTATTTAGGCATATGATTTTTTTTGTGTGGATAAAGTGACATATAAATCTTTGATGAAATAAGGTAATATTGTTTAGCATAATAATCTCTCTTAATCTCTCGATTCTTCTTTTTTATTCAGTTTTTGTAGATGTGATTTGTTTTTGTTTTTTTGTTGATTTGAGGCATCATTCAAGAAAACAAATATGATATGGGTTTTTGTTGACGTTGATCGGTCTATTATGTTTTTTTTATTCTTTAGCATTGAGCTTGGAAATTATTTTCTAATATTTTTAATTCTTAAAGAAGAAACCAAACATAATGAGGTGTTATTCTCTAAACATTATAAACACATTTTTTTTCTTAGATTTTTGATGTTTTAAAATATTTGATATATGTAAAAGATTTTTCCATCCCTATATTTGAAATATGAAATTCATAGGTTGTTTTATGTAAGAATGAAAATGAATAGGTTGAAGGTTAAATTTTTTAAAATTACCAAAACAATGTTATCCTAATGAATTTAATGTTTTAAATATAGAGATGAAAAATTCAGGTTTACTATACTAATTTAGGTATTATTCTTCCTCTTTATCACTTGATGTATTATTCATTTTCAAACCCTTTTTCTTCAATAATTTATTTTTTCAGGTAATCTTTTATTTTCTCTGTTCATCAATTGATTTGTTCTTTCATTTTATAAACTTTATTACTCAATAAGATCATTTTTCAGGTTTACTATGAGAATACTAATTTAAGTATTGTTCTTGACTTTCGTTGGGATTTTAGAGTTTATTTATTTTTATTTTTTTCTTCTATGTTTTTCTTAAGTTTTTTCAATGGAATTGAAGATTTGTTCTTGACAGCAATTATAGAGTTTTGATGGCTACAACGGTTCGATAATTGAATTTTGAATATATGTATTAAAAAATATATACCTCAACAAACTTCAATATGTTCTTTTTCTTATAGATTAATACAAGAAGACTAATCTTACATTTTTTTCGACTTTTGTTGGAATTTTAGAGATCTTTTTTGTTTTCATATTTTATATTTTTCCTAAATTTTAAATTCTACCAACCATTTATTTACATGACACTTGAATATAATAATATATATGTTTTTATTTACATAACAATTAAATATAATAAAATAACTTATTATAAT